AAATTAATTTTATAGCTCATTTATTCGTGTCAAAAAGTTCAGATAATATTTAAAAAAAATTTTTTTTGCTCATATTTAAACATTTAAGAGTAATTTATTACATTCTTAAAAACACTCAAAAAGGAAGGAAAAGGTTAAAACTTATTTTAAAAAATAGTAAAAATTTCTCTTTTTTATTTAAAAATCGTCCCACAATTAAATAATCACAATAATTCCAGATTGTCTTGATTTGCAGAAAATCATCATGTGGCATGCAAATGTGTTTCGTAAGATATTTTATTTGTTTAAGCAATGAGAAAATTTTTATAATAACAAAAATATTTATATCAGACAAGACATGATGGCAAAGCAAAATCATCGAAAAGCAATAAGAAGAAGAAATGACTTTAAGTAGTAAAAAATCCCATCCAAATAGAAGAAAAAGCCTCGCGTGATACGAGCTTATAGGTTTTGATGTCTTACGAAACACTGTGATGAGCACAGAAAAAAAAAACTTGAATATTTTTTTTTCTTATTTTTTTAAATCCAAGAAAGAAATTTTTATTATTTTAGTTTCGCGTAATTTTATGGAAAAAAAAGAACTGTGAAATTATTAACACATACACAAGACTCAAAAACCAAAGTAAAACAGTGTTTTTTAGTATTTCCGCCAAATGCACGAAAGTTTGAATTGAAAATAAAGAAAACTGGAGAATCGAACGAAAATGAGTTTTATTTCAAATATTATTTTTTTTTTAAAAAAAAAGTTTATATTTTTTTTCCTTTTATAACTTTTTTTTTTCTCTTAATTTTTTGAGAGCAAACGAAAATCCATGTTTACACGCGTCCGGGTTTAGTACATGACTGGCGAGTTTTGAGTTTTTGCAGTCGATATAACTCAAAAATTGAGAAATTGTATATCGCAATGGAAATTATAAAACATTCGTTCAACATTAAAGCTCTTTGTAGCAACAAACATTGTCGACGTAATGTTGCACGTGGTAAATTTTTCCTCGCAGACGGTAAACTACCGCATATATAAACATGAAAACAACCGCCATATGATGTCTCAAAATATTCCATTGTTATCAATGCCAAAATCGAAAAAATCATAACATGAGGAAATGGAGTGTGGCAATGGAAAATTTCTCTCGTTTAAACTCTCTCAACTGACATGCGCCGATAAGTCTAAGACGGCATGATATCACGATGATAATAATGTGGAATTTACTTTTTAGAACTATTCAGATGAATCGTGTTACATATTCTATCATCATATTTTTTTTTTGTTGACTTTTTTGTCAACAATGTTTCACTTTGAGACACAAAAGCATATATGCACGTGAACTTCAAATCAAATGAAATTTAATCAAATTAAATTAAATTATTCAATGAATGTTAACAATTACTGTGCAATCTACAGCTCTGTATGGCAAAGTCAATTTCTATTGAAAATTAATTTTTATATTTTTTAATTCTAGAAATATTGTAAATAATTAAGATAGTCGTCTTACTGTTTGATAAGGCTTACGTTTTCACTTCTATTTAAGTCATTCATTTACTACACAATGCGAATAAATTGGAATTATGATGCATACTTATAAATTACGTTTGAATTATTCTAAAAATAACATTCTAAAGAAATATTTTTAAACTGATTTTCATTCTTTATAAGTTTAAATTATTCAACCCGATTAGAACATATTGAAATACTGTCCATAAAGCGGCTAATCGGATAGGATGCTTAGAATGAAGTTATTAAATGATAAACAACAAATTACAACAAACATCATATCTTCTGCCTTTAAGTGGAATCAACTCAGATTGCACCCTCATCATTTAACTTAATTCAGAAAATAACGGAAGTCGATTTAAACAGAATATTAATGAACTGTGTTATCAGTATGAATCGCAATAAAGACAAAAAAAAAGATCTTATTTAAAAATGACGTCAGTTTATGTCTCCCATAATACTTCAATAATCATCAGCGAGTGTTTATAGATAACATGACCTATGAAACTTTTTTTATTATTTACTTCGAGTTCTTGTTTCCAATGTTTAAAGTTTTTGCAAAAATAAAGATTAGCTCTGTTCATAGATGATTCTCACTTTGTAGAATGTCGAACAAACTTTTGAGATCTCATAGTTCAAATATTGTTTTTAACGACGTAAATTGATATTTAAAGATCTTCAAAGTCGGACAATTTCATTGAAATTGATAAAAACAATTGTTCGGCATATTTACTCAAACATATAATACAAAAGTCAGTACAGAATGAATCCAATTATCAGTAGTAAAATCCCAAAAGCTAATACACACATCATACAATCAATCTCAATATTTTCTTATTAATCAATTTTATTACTCACCATAGGATTTAATATTCATTTGATATTTTGTTTATAATAATTTCACTATCTTTTGCTCTATTTTTTGATATTTATTAGTTAAATATTTAATAACACTTCAAATTTACACTATTGCCTTTGAACTAATTAGATTCTATTTATCTAAAATTTATTAATCATGTCAATGTCAATTATCCTACGTATAAAAATATTATTTTTTTTTATCTCGACTACAGATTTATTGTTCTTTGCTTTTGTTTACTAAATATCCGTAAGCATAAAACCCAAATACTTTGGATATATGTTTGATAAGCGCTTTAATTTGAAATAACACGATCCGAATTGGAATAAAAGTTTTAGAGTTATTTTGCAATGTTTCAATGAACGAAGTTGAAAGTTCGAACAAAATCAGTCAACTAAGATTCTGATAAGAAAAATTGAGAGAGAAAATAAAATTATTTCATAGAGTAACTGTCGGACATAAATTTGTGTTGTGATGATAAAGAAAAATGCTAAGAATGTCGCTGAGTAAAAACTTTTAAATGTTTAAAAATACGTTATGAAAATTAGTGAAGATACTAGGCACAAAAATTAAATTCAATTGAAATCAATTCAAATGTATAGCATACACTTATTCAGGGTCTACGTCAGGGAGGACATAAGGGTCAAAATCTCAACGATAGAAAAAAAAATCAAAACTTTTTGAAGAATCCTTAGAATTCTTGAATCAAACTTTTTATATTTTTATTACAATATATGAAGCAGTAACATAGAAACAATTTTTAGAAAAAATTACAGAAGTCCTCGTGTTATTGATCGAGGGACTTAAGCGCATTTTTGTGTTAGCGATCAGTATTTGATTATGTAATTATTTTGCGTTCATTTACAGATCATGAGAAGATTAGAAGATCATTAATTTTAGTGTAATTAACAAAAAGTTACAATGAATGCTTATATAGAAAGGATTATTATTTAACGGTCAATAAATAATTTGAAATTTTGCCGTTAAAAGTTGCACTACGAAAATATTAATTATAGTATAATTAAACAATTTGTTGCAATAAATTTCCATACAGAAAGGGTTTATCATTTAACGGTTTTTTTGTAATTCAAATTTTCTAAAGGTCAATAAATAATTTGAAATTTTCCCGCTATAAGTTGCACTACGAAAAAATTAATTATAGTATAATTAAATAATTTGTTGCAATGAATTTCCATACAGAAAGGATTTATCATTTAACGGTTTTTTTTAATTCAAATTTTCTAACGGTCAGTAAATAATTTGAAATTTTCCCGCTATAAGTTGCACTACGAAAAAATTAATTATAGTATAATTAAATAATTTGTTGCAATGAATTTCCATACAGAAAGGATTTATCATTTAACGATTTTTTGTAATTCAAATTTTCTAACGGTCAGTAAATAATTTGAAATTTTCCCGCTATAAGTTGCACTACGAAAAAATTAATTATAGTATAATTAAATAATTTGTTGCAATGAATTTCCATACAGAAAGGATTTATCATTTAACGATTTTTTGTAATTCAAATTTTCTAACGGTCAGTAAATAATTTGAAATTTTGCCGTTAAAAGTTGCACTACGAAAAAATTAATTATAGTATAATTAAACAATTTGTTGCAATGAATTTCCATACAGAAAGGGTTTATCATTTAACGGTTTTTTGTAATTCAAATTTTCTAACGGTCAATAAATAATTTGAAATTTTCCCGCTATAAGTTGCACTACGAAAAAATTAATTATAGTATAATTAAATAATTTGTTGCAATGAATTTCCATACAGAAAGGATTTATCATTTAACGATTTTTTGTAATTCAAATTTTCTAACGGTCAGTAAATAATTTGAAATTTTGCCGTTAAAAGTTGCACTACGAAAAAATTAATTATAGTATAATTAAACAATTTGTTGCAATGAATTTCCATACAGAAAGAGTTTATCATTTAACGGTTTCTTGTAATTCAAATTTTCTAACGGTCAATATAATAATAATTTGAAATTTTCCCGCTATAAGTTGCACTACGAAAAAATTAATTATAGTATAATTAAATAATTTGTTGCAATGAATTTTCATACAGAAAGGGTTTATCATTTAACATTTTTTTGTAATTCAAATTTTCTAACGGTCAATAAATAGTTTGAAATTTTCCCGCTATAAGTTGCACTACGAAATAATAATTATAGTATAATTAAATAATTTGTTCCAATGAATTTCCATACAAAAAAAGTTTATCATTTAACGGTTTTTTGAAATTCAAATTTTACAACGGCTAGAAATTTTTTGAAATTATAGAGGTAATATTGAAATTATAGAGGTAAAATAAAATTTGAGCAGGTTACACTGAAAACAAAACAAAAATTCATTAATTATAGCATAAATACACTGTTTTAAGATTTTTAAATGTCCGGCGGGCCAATAACTCGATATAACGGAACTAATGCAAAAAACTAGAACTCTCTACGATGTCTAGATTAAAAGTTTTTCTTAGCAGCCGACCAGCCAGCCGACCAGCCGACCAGCCGACCAAAGTGCGTTATTAAGCTACCTTTTTGAAACAAGTTTCAAAAATGCGCTAAAAATTTGAGCAAAAGCGTCATTCAAAATGATTTGGTAAACATAGCATTTAAACAATTGATGATCTTGAACTGAACATCAATCAAATGCAATAGAGAAATCAGTTTTAAAACTCCTTCTGTCGACGCTGTATTGATTGTCAGCTGTACACTCATAAATGCCTGAAAGAAATAAAGAAAAAGAAAATTAAATGAAAGAAATGTTCATCAATTTTAAATGTGCATGCCTGCATCCATTTGTGTTGCCGGATCAATTTCGATTTTAGATTTGACTGTGTCTTTTCCAATGTACCATTGATGAACCTGCGGGTTATATTAGTTAAATGTTGCAAGAAATGTGCATGAAAAAATGAAACTCACATGTAAATAAAGATGACTGAATATTTCAGCACCATCCTTATACCTGTGTGTATAAATAGAATGATCAAAATATTAAAGATTAATGTTTAAAGAATTTTAAGTCTTTATTTTCTACGAACCATGTTATTGTTGGTCTTGGATTGCCACGAGCAAGACAAAGAAAAGCTATTTTGTGCCCCAGAACGTATTCAAAATCAAAATGAGATGCTAAAGTTATTTTTGCACCCTAAAATATGAAAATAAGCAATTCAGATAAATTAATTATGTGAACAAATCATTCCTTAATGTCGATTCTAAGTTGCATAAAATTGGGAAAACAACTTAGCCTATTCTAGCTAATATCAAATTGCGATTAAATCAAATGTGAATATTAGGATCAAATAAAGTTCATTTCCTACACAGTTAAGTAGATGTAAAACTAAATGGAAGTAAATTGAGATTGCTTTGCATAATGGTCATCCCATTGAATAATAAATACAGAAAATTGTTTAGTCTGCATGTATGTACAGAAGGAATTATTATTATAGAATACAATTTGAGTTGACAATTTCATCAGCCTTGTATAGCTTCAAGAGCTCCATTATTCCGGAATAGCAGCAATTGATATTTTCATTATCTTAATGATCAATCTGCAACCAATAATTCTCATGTATGATAGTTTCTGTTCTCTTCTAATTCTCTCGAAGCTTAGGGGAGTTGTACACATATTAGGTGACACTTTTTAAGGACGAAGGATTTTATGAGTCATGGAAAATTGATGACAAATAGAAAGTTTTAAATAGGAACTTTTTGCATTTCGTAACTAATGTACAGCCCCTGATGACTATTTCCATTATTCTCTTCTCCTTCTCCGCTTGATATTTGTAGTTTTATTTGACACACAATAATAACAATATGAAGTTGTGTTTATTGTGTATGAAAATGGAAATACGGAAAAGTGAAAAGACAAATAAAAAGAAGAAAATTAATTTTTATTTTCTGGACTTTCCATGATCTAATTAGGGACGTTGAAGCTAATAGAATTGAACTTTATTTGTTTGATTTAGAAGCTATGCAGGCTCAAATATGCTGATAAATTCATAACTTACATCATTGTTATTGTAATATTGATCACTTTCTGGATCTCGATATTCTAAATTATGAATAAAAGTAAATAAAAATCTCACTTTTTACCAGCTATAAATTTTATTTTCTTACTTCCTGTAATCGGCAGTCCAATTTGCATCTAAAAGCAAAAAAATATGGTATTTTAAAATCTTTTGAATTATTAGGAAGTCATGAGGATTGGAATATGAATTGATGAAATATGATGCAGAAAAATGTATGAATGGAAAATTGAAAATGAAAATGTGAATGAAAAACAATGAAAATTTTATTGAGTGGAAATTGAAAAGGAACTTGAGTGAAATGCTAGTCTTATGTTAACTTAATTAATTTATGGATTCTGATGTTCAGTAAAAAATCTATTTCATCTATGAGATTTGAACTACTTGGTGAATTAATATGTATTTTCGAAAATCTCAAAATATCAACAATTCCCAATAAAATGCTCAAGTCTTTAAAATATCTTCATTTTCCGATTTTATCATTGATGATAGTGTTATAAGAAATAGGAAAGGATTGTGTGTAATTGATTTTTCAATCAATAACATTTAAAATCATCTCATTCTATTGAACAAACGTATTAAGTTGCCTTAGATTATTTCCCATACAATTCTCAATTTTTGGGTTTATAGGAAAGAGAAGAGTGAAAATTCGATTTGTCAGATTGCCATTTATCTGATAAGTGAAAGAGTTACTTGTTATATGATTACTAAGAATTTATTACGATTTTTTTCAATAAATTAAATCTATGCTGTAATATTCCGTCTGTTGAATTAAACACACAAAGAAGAGGTTAAATTTAATTAAGATTTCTCCGAAATGATAAGCAGATTCATAAATTTTACTGCAAAAGGAATAAATTTGTTGCTTAATATAAAAAGAATCTTTTTCTGATTCCTAAAAGAGATTTTATATAACCTTGGATAATATTATTATTTTACTTTACAAAGATTATCTCTTTTTTGAAGGAATTTGAAGGGACAAGATGCTCTTCAACTAAGATTTTCATTTAAGAATCATAACCCTTATTAGGATCAATTAAAATTTTATAAGTATGCAATTAACGCAAATTTATTAAAAAATTAATGGACAATTTTAATGAAATGATAAGAAATGTCATCCAAGAACAGAAGCTTAGCCCACAAGCTCTAAATAATCAAAGCTCTTCAATTTGGTAAAGTTTTTGAAAAATCATCTTAACCACCAATTTTAGGTAAAGACATCAATAATCCAACAAGAAGAAATCAAACATTTTAAATATTTTAAGGAACAAATCGAAACTTACAAGAAATGATATGAAATTCAGATAATCTGAACTAGACTAATTAAATTATATTCAAGATCTATCAAATGTACTCAAGCAATTGATTTCTTGTATAAACTGAGAGCATCCTCAACATCATTCTCATGACATTAATATGAAATTGGATACTCATTAAAATCACACTAGAGACACACAATGACAATACATAAATTTCTTATAATTACCCCTTAAGAATGAATGAAAGAAGATGAAAATGTAGTCAAATGGTACGCAACATACATGCTGTTGCCATGTCATTATCTCTATCACACTCAGCACTAATTTGTGATGTTAATTAACCAATTAGAATCGGCCATAAGGTGAAAATTGGATTTTCATTCTATTATTATTTTCATTACCCTTACCCTCGATTTCGATCGTCCTCGTGAACGACCACGTCTACAATGAACATCATTAATCAGCAGGAGAAGTAGGAGCATCAACATGATGATATTATTTTTATTTGGTTTCATATTTATTGTTTTCTTAAACTTTAGTCTCTTTTTTATGAACTCTTTAACTTTAACTTTTTTAGATTTTCAACAAAATTTACTTACTTTAAGATTCTAAAATTTGGAAAAATATAATTATTGTTAGCTTTTAAAAATCAATTCATTTCATTATGGTGACAGCAACATTTAAATTCTATCACATCTTTGGTTTTGAACTTTATTAGACGAATCTATCAGTGTGAGATTTAAACCTCTAAAGCGTCTTGTTAAGTAACATATTCGAGATCTTTTGTGAGAATTTTGGTTTAATTCCCATTAGTCGAACTTTATAGAGTATTGTCGAAAGGACTACGATTTCGCAATGCTTACAAAAATACAATATCATTTAGAGAATTGATCTTATTCTGCATCGAATTAAATAATAAAGTAATTGTCATAAATTTACATTACTTTTCTCACATCTACCATTTCCAAAGATGCTATTACAAAAGACAACAATAAGCAAGAAAATGGTTGCAGAAGAGCAGAAAACTATAAAGTCATCATGGGTATTACAGAAAAATGAAAATGTCGCACACAATTTCATACAAATCTCAAATGCTGTAAAATAGTAAACTTTATTATCTCACATTCTCGATAATATAAATTTATTTATTTATTTATTTCCTTACTCTTTATAGCACATCTAACTGTATGAGTATTTTTGTATGCTATTGTAATATCGTCATTATTATGGAACTCCATTTAAATAAAACTTTGCTCTTTCTCTCTCGTTCATATATTGTATCATGAACATTATAATATCATTCATCTCAATCTGGCACCAAAATAATGTAACTTATGTTGATCTTTTATTTCTGTTCTAGGGAATTTTCCTAAGACTGAATTAATTCTTGAAACACTTAGTATTTCAAACAGAACTGAACAACACTAGCAATTTAAAATTGGTTCATTTTTGAGAGACTTTGGGAAATTTTTCATCCAATGACACTGCCACCACCCCCCCCCCCCCCCTACCCCCCTCATATAAACAAAATTTCACAAATATTGATTCCATCCAGCAATCAATAAATCAAACTTTTTACGATATTTGGTCCGCAATACAAAAACATATACATATGCTTGTAAAATATGCCAAAATATAGACATGGAATCTTCTTTATATTTTAATATCTTCTCTAGGAACAAATTTTATTTGTTCTTTTACTGCAAATCTACAATGAACTATTGGACGAAGAAAATAATAAAGAGAAACTACTCATTCTGGATGGATGAACTTATTATGATGCAAAAACTTTCTTAATATCATCATAAAAATGGAAATAAAATAAAAATGAGAAAAATAAGGAAGAAAATTAATTTTTTTTTCTGTTTATATTTGTATGCTTTACATAAAGTTTTAAATGGACTCATGTTGGGCATAGGTAATATAGCCATTATTTGAAAAATACAAAAGATGATTGGAAACTTTTTAATGAGCTTTAGACACACACAAAGCTAAGGATAAATAAATTGTTAATAAAGCTTTTCTTTCGTTTTGCAAACATTCTCAGATTTAATTTCAATAATCTTTAAAAATTAATTTGAATAATTTTTAAAAATTTGTTTTTAGAATTTTTAAAAGCTAAGATAAAGTCGTAAAAAACTTTTAAAAATAAATTACTAATTATTCTTAAAATGAAAGATTTTATTGCACTATTTTGTTTTAAATACATAAAATTTGCCATAATTAATTCTGTTGCTGCCACCTTAATTGCATTTTAATTTGTAAGTCCATTAAAAATGAATAAAAATAAACAAATTTGTTTCCTTCCGAAATTACTAAATAAATTAAAGTTCTTTGGGATATGCGAGTGCACTTTCTAGTAACAAAAACCGCATGCGATTTCACTTTAATTTCTTAAAAAATCACCAATAAAATTATTTTTTAAATCTTTTTTCACCCGACTTTTCAACAAAAAAACGATCTCAACGAGTTCAAGACTCACTTTAGAATGAAGCGCAAAAATAAAAAAAAATCTCATTGAATTATTTTCTTTATTGAATTGATGTACACAACTTTAAAGTATCAAAAGGAATATGTTTGTTTATCTGTATAGAGATCATGTATCTTAGATGTATGTCACACTTAAATCATGTTAATGTAAATATATTTATAAAATCCACTTAAAATAGATTGTCAATGTACATACACTTGGTCATGATATGATGTTTGAATCGGTTTTGACTTGGTTATAACCCCTTTACATTGTTTAAGGAGCTGTCTACTTATATTTCTAAACAAGTCACAATAAGTATCATGTTACCACATTTTATTAAATTCTATTAGTTCATAAAAGTTTTCAAGTAGAAAAACGGTGCCTTGAACTTCACCTAAATTTTATATGCATCTTTATTTGGAATCATCAATTGTTGAAGTTTGACTTAAGGTTTGCATTAGTTCATCAAAGAGTTTAATAGCTTTATCCAATTCTTTGATATTATCAATAAATGTATCAGGCAGAGGCAAATTAAATTTACTGAATCGTCTGTAATTGAAAATAAACTAGAAGATTAAGAATAGCTCTAAAAACTTAGGAATTTTAAAGAAATATTAATAAATCTAAAACTTACCTTTTTAAAAATGAAAATGCATGTTTTTTCAACTCTTCACCTCCATGATACAGACTAGAAGATTGTAAAATTTTGTATGCATTTTCTTCTGTAATTATGTCATACAGTTTCGCTTCACAGCATTTCTTAAGCTCGTTAATTTGGAAGTAATCTGACGCTTTTAATAGTTCAAAAACATGAGTGTCAAAATCTAGAATCTGTTCGATATAAACATATCTAATCAGTTCTTTAAAAGCTTCACTACTTATACCAAAACCTAGTTCATGTTCATTTGAAGTACTTTCTTTGTAATTTGAATTAAACATTCGGTCAAAAACTGGACTGCGAACTGAGAATATTCAATAATTAAATGATAATTGCATGAATTAACTTGATTGTCATTACCAGACAGTAAAAATTTGCTTACTGGTATCCTTTCATCTCCAACAATGAATTTAAAATCACTCCTTTCTTCATTAAAAAGCGCCAATTTAAGTAAATTATTCCAGGATGAAGATTTTTCAATCAAATTAATCTGAAATATTAATTTTTTAAAAATAACAATTTAAGTTTTATAATCTCACAAATTATTTACAGCAACTGATGTTATAGTTTTAGGTTTAGATTGAGATCCGAATCCAACAAATTGGTTATTATATTGATGTGTTGTTTTAACAGCAAAAGTTCTGTTTGACAAAAATAAATATTGAATCATTTTGTTTATCTTTTGTTATCGAACTTGTTATCAATAACGAACTGAAAACACTGGTAAGAAGCTTTTTTAAAGAAGAAAGTTGAAATTACATTCACTTACAAGTCTGCAATTTCGGAATCATTAAAAACTTGAACAGGATAGTTATCTTCTTCAATTTGTAAGATTATTTCTGATACTTTTTTCTCATCTTTCACTAAGTTATTAACTGAAATATTAATCTTTTTTTCATTAACTTTATTTGAATACATTTTGAATGCAACGATCAGCTTTTACTAGTGAATTCACCATTTGGACTAAAGAGCGGTATGGATATTTGAATTCGTGATAAGTTTATTATATTTGACAAGATAAAAATTAGCTTTTTGATTTTTACTGTTGACAATTATCGTTTTATAGCACTTTGTTTCCTTTAAATCTTAACCAAGAATTAAGTTTAAATTTATTTTAAAATCGATGAAATTTTTAACCTATAAAGTTGCCTGCAATATAAACGAAAATCCAAAAGATTTTTTTAAAAAGATAATAAACAATTTAAAAAGAGTGCCATAATGCGCTGCCCATAAACCGAACTAATTTCATGAAAATAAAACAATCGCAAAAATTGTCAACTTTGAACTTGCACCACATTAATCTTATAAACTGTTGTCGACAACTCACTTTTATGTCTACATCCAACTTTTCTTTTTCCACGATAATATCATTGAGCGGTTCCAGAAAGAGGAGACTGTAAAGCTGTTTATCATGTTCCGGTCTGTGTATTCGCCAGAAAAAAATTTCTCTCATTTTGCTGATGTTGCGGTAATGAAGAAATTTTTAATTGCATAACATTGGATTGATGAGAGTTTGTAATCTTTTTAATAAAAGAAGGCTGGAGAATGAAGGGTTTAGCTTATCTAATATAGCTTGGGAGAATATTTTTGACATTTGTTCCTTTCTCCGGATCATCTGAAATCCGTTTCTTATTGATTGAATAATGATAACCTTAAATTGACTATTTGTGAACTTCTCAATATATAAAAATAAATTGAAGATAAATGTCTTGAAAAGGATTTTCCTGATTTTTCAATTTCAAACTCAAGCAATAATTTGACTTTTCAATTAAAACACATTTAATTCTATTCAACTGTCTCCTACAAGATTAAATTTATGTTTTATTAAACTTGATTCCATCGTTTCTTTGGTTGGCTGACTAATTGTTTGGCTTTTGGATATTGTTTAACGTTATGGGAAAGTTTTCTAGTCCAAAGGCGTGAGCAAGATTAGATCAAACCTTTTCTTGAAATTTCTAGAGTTTAATCAGGTTTTTGAAAAACATAAAGTCTCCAAAAAGTTATAAAGCTCCTAATCTGGTCATCCATTCGTTTAAACAATTGAAAAAAAATTTCTAGAAATTGAAAGGAATTTTTATTTTATTTTATATAAATTGATTTATAAATGAATCATGATATCACATTCACTTCCATACATGGAAGCATATGTAACGTGATAGAAAGAGGAAGAATAATAAACGGATGTTCACCTACATGTCGTTTCTTATAACTTCACACATAGAATAAAAAGAGGAAATTTTAAAAAGTTAAAATAAAAAAGTTAATGGAATTTTAAAATAGAAAGGAAACGACTTCATTGAGGCTCATTTTATCTATCTTGTCATTTCCGATGTAGGGAGCTGCTTCCTTTTTGTCTTTTGTTAAATTAAAGATCTATTTTTTTATGCTTAATTTTCATCATTAAAATGCAATTTTCTTAAATGCTTCAATCTTAAAAATTAAGTTTTAATGAAAATCATTATTAACTACTATTTATTCGCTTCAAAAAGCACATCTTTTGCCTTCTCATCGCTCATCATTATAATAATAACAGCAACTTGACGACTTTTCATTTCCTCGTTTAGGCTTTTCCATATTTTCGCATATACAAAAATTATGTCCTTGTTTTTAAATCATATTAACGGGAAATGAGTTGCTCCTGCTTTGGTTTTTCATATAACTAATTGCAGGCATGCGGCAACGACAACGAAGAAAAAAACATTAAATTAATTTTTTTTAATACACTGAAATGAAAATTTATGCAATCAACATCATCGTAATCAGCAGAAGCTTAAGCGGAATGCAGAGAAAAAGACAAGAAATTATGGAAAAAGTTTGTGACATCCAAAAAATATATAATACATAAAACGAGATATGATTTTCTCTCATTTTCTCGACGCCTTTTAGTCAGGGATTGAAACGTTAAAATTAAACTTATTTTTTGAAAAATTTAAATTTCACAAAAAATTCAAAAATATTTTTTTCACATTTTCAAAATAATTATAAAATTTAAATTTTAACTTTCCACATCCCGAAAATAGTTTTTTTAAACAATTATGCATATTTTCCTTAATAATTTCGAATCAACAAAAAACACTTGCACATGTAGGAGAAAGGAACAAGGAAAGCGAGATAAACAACAATAATTATGATAAAAATATTTTTTATGTTCGTCTCTTTCTCAACCAAAGCTTCAACATTGTGTGCACTTAAAAGCAAAATTTCTCATACAGCTAAGTGGGACATTTTGTGAATGATGTCCATCATTTAAAAAAGTAGGAGAGTCACTTTAGAAAAATTATTTGTCAACTAAAGTTTTGTGACTTGGGACAGCCCTCTCTTTGAGGGGGGGATCTGAAAATCCCCATTACATCATAAGTAAAAGAAGCCTCGCTGCCGCTGCTTTTGATGCTTCTCATATCTCAACATTTTCCTTCCGACTGCTCACTCAAGAAAAATTTCTTCTTCATGGAAATTATAATTAAATAATTTTTTCATATCATTTTTGCTGTAGAAGAACAAAATAGAGTCCTTATGAAAAGTTTATTTAAATTAATGAAGCTCAGGCACCTAGCAAGAAGGGTCTTGTCCCCCCCCCCCCCCCCCTTTAAGCATTTTGATCCACAGCTAGGGTACGGCACAGCTAGAGCACGGCTCTAAATGCTAAAGGGGGGGGGGGGGGGGGGATAAGACCCTCCTGGATACTAGAGAGATAGATTATTTTGAATGTGTAGTTTACTTATTAAGTCCATCAAATTTGTCGCTTAATAATCCAAGTATTCAAGATTCTCAAAAATTTCAGACTTCTTCAAATTATTATCGTTGCTGGAAGGAGTCAAAAAGGGCTCATATCCCTTCCCCCACACCCTTCGTGCACCTCGAAAAGTTTTAAAAAATTTCAGACCTTATAAAATTTTTTCTGGTTCCGCCATTGACCTAAATGATAGACATCATTTAAAAATGACCAATTTCTAAGTCAATCGTTTTTAACCAAAAATTTGTACAAGGGACATAAAGGAAATAATTCTTTCAGAAGAACACGGAATGATGGGGAAATTATCATTCATTGTGTATGAAGTTCATGCTACTTATCATTCTTATTCACTCTCCATTGCTATGTGGCCGCTAATTATTCTTCTTCTTTCTTTTGGCTCCTGCCGTTGATGCTTTCTACACTTTTTCTTTTATTTATTTTATAATTTAATTTGGATTCAACTTTTTCATAAATTCTTTTTTATAGCTCTTGATAACAATTTAATTCGTTTTAATGTTTGTGATGATAAGTTTTACATGAAGACATTTTCTTAAAAACTTTCTCTACTTAATTATGTAGATTTTTGCTCAAAACACTCTAAACAGCTCATTTAATAATTTATTTGATTAATTTGTATAAGAACGTCCACGAATCATTCATAATTTTAGACAATTTATTTGAAAAATGATTCAAAGTAATAAAAAATCATTACTAATAATGAGCATAAAAAGAATCTATCCAGTGAGAATATCAAAAATGTGTCTGGCACAAATGAATTGAAAGTAATGTTCAAGTTACTAAAAGAAGTGCCAGTTGAGGGAATTAAAAACAACAAAAAAAAACGAAAAGGAAAAATTTTGTCGACCATTAAAAAATTATTATAGCACAGAGTGTGGCAAAAACACACAGTAAATGCAATTGGATGAGATGAGAAGTAATTTCTTATTTTTTTATACATTGAATAAAAGACGACAGCAACGATGGAATAATCGTAAAGCTGAAAATTACAATTTAATCAAAATTTATGTCGAATAATTTTTCATTTTCACTCGTTTCTTTTTTATTTCTCAGCATATCTACGAAAATGGATGCCTTATCGTGGTTATTATAGTAAATACTGATTTTTCGCTACTTTTTCTGTCTGAAGTTTCAAAGGCTTGACTGTAAATTTTTTTACAGGATCAATTCTTCGTGTAGGGTACCCCCCCCCCCCCCACCCCCCTAGAAAATATGTTTAATTTTCTGGGCTTTCACTTGAAATAATCTTTGGCTACAACCTTGCCTATACATCACTAGCGTAGCCTAGGAACAAGGATCCAAAGCGGTCCTTTAAGATTTTTTAATTTAAAAAGGTTTCCACTGTAATTTTTCATTCCCAATACTTATGGAGAAAAAAAGGATGAAAAAATGATGTTTGCCAAACAGAACAGAACAGAATGAAGGCAAATTGCTCATTTTTTTGCTTCTGTTTCGAATGATGGTGTCGGGTGAAATTTAAGCGCCACATTCTTCTCCTTTTTCAGTTTATGTTCCAAATATCCTTCTTTTTAAAAATTGGAAATATTTATTTATAAAAAACTTCAGTTTCCTGCAGGCTATAAATACTTTGGCTGCCCTTAATTTGGTTTTTCTCGTCGTTTATGAACTATTGTATTTATAATTTATTTTTCTTGAAGTCTTAAGCCATGGAACATTACGTTTTATAAAGATGTATTTGAATTTTATTGTATTACTAGTTTGGGATTGTTCATTAATGTATGCAGCTCGAAGTCGACTAGCTTATGTTGATTCTGAGTTAACAGGGTTGGGGTTTGACTCTGAGTTCACTAGACTTTAATCGCCTTCAAACGAGGACATCATTAGTTAACGATCATCAACCTTATATTTATCTCAATTATATTAAATATTTTTCAACATGTATTACAACACAAATAGACGACCCTAGCTGTCTATAGGATTAGATTACTCTCGATGGAAAAAGCAAAGAGCTTGTTTATGTCCATAGAAACGATAATCCATGTTCATCAGTAATCAAAAGTGAATGAGTGATTTTATTTATTTCAGGAAAGCAAAATTTTTGTATATCTGTGCCATGTTTTGCTTCAGCAATCATATTGTTAGTCTAATGGACTATATTAATAATTTTGGGAAATGCAAAAGCCTTTAAAAAAATTTTTTAACTCTC